TAAGGTCGGAAAACAACAACTAGTTGTTTCCCTACATTCCTGACATGTACCAAATAATCCATGATTTTGCCTGCTTTTACTGACCAAGATACATCTAACAGGGAAAACATTTCTATTCCTGGTTTGATATGAGAAAATTATTCCATGGTGTCAAAAATCTTCATGTTTCTCATATAATAAATCTACTTTTACTTCCACGTGAGAGTCCCTCAAAAATCTTAAAGAATAATCATGTTTATCTCTCTTCTTCCCAGTTTTTCATTTCCATGGTAACCATTACCCATATGGCATAATTTTCGTATCATTTTGTCCTGGTTTACCTTTGCTACAGGCTCACTTGAGCGGGGTGCTTGGGGTGGTGTGGTGTGTGTGTGTGTGTGTATACCCTTCATTAATCCATCTTTGAGAGAAACACTTCTCAAAGGAAGAACCATTGGAAACTAAGAAATAAAGTATAGAACATTTCAGGTCAAAACAAAAAGATCATTCAAAATAATAAAAATGTAGGCCCATGTCACCTAGAAGCAATTATTACAAGATACAAAAGACTAAAAGAGGAGCATAAATGTTGCTCTTTAATCATAGACTTTTAGCTATAACATCAACCAAAGAGGAGAGGCAAGCCAGCTATTAAGCTGTTTAAAAATCTCCCCAGGTCAGCATGTGATCCAGCAGGGAGAGGTTCAAAAAAGTACAGCCTTTCTTTTTCCTAACAACCTGGTTTGTTTCCACTCCTTTCCCTTCAAGACACATCCCTCACAGCTAGTAGCTCTTTCAATCATTTACTCTGGATGTCTGCTTGAGAACAAATAATCTTGCTCATGCAGATGAGTCTGCCAGACTTGTGTGTACTTTCCAGTCTCAGGCCCTTTATTGTTCTGGTTGAAACCTGACCCTTTGAAATGAATACCAGGACACCAGAAAACGAATTTAAAATATAAGAAAAAAGTTGGAGGAAAAGGGGCAAAAAACTGCAGAAACTTTTTAAGATCAAACTTTCTCCTCTGCTCTTCTAAATAAGCTTGTCACAAAACTGTATCTTACACTGCAAAGTAACAATCTGCCCCAAAAGACAATCAATATAAAATACTAAGACACACACAACATAACAATATCATTATTGTATTATCTGATCTAATGAATAAATGTTACATTTCCCTTAGGAGTAGACTGTCAGGACAGATCACAATCAAAACTTGGACTGTTTTTTACTTTATTATCTCAACATGATTAAACAGTACTAAGTAAGCAACTTTTTGGAAACATCAATTTCAGCCTATAATAATTACTGTTAGGAAACATTTTGTATATACTTATTCCAAACACACCAAATAAAAATATTAAGGTCCTACCTATAATTTCAAAACAAGAAGGGACGAAATTCTATTTTGATCTTTTCAGCTTCAATGAAATTTTGCCATTTTTTTAAAACACACAAAAAATAAGGCTGATAAAAACAAATAACCCAATGGCTTTGTTTTTGTTTTCCCAAAGAGAGATTCTGTTTTGAAGGCCTGCTAGCTCAAAGAAGTTTGACACTGAGCTTGTATATCAAGCGGGAAAATTCATATTTCTCTTTACCCTTTGAGGGAAAAATAAACTGATAAATCACATCAAACTGCAGCTAAAGGGTCTGTCATCTCACAACCTAAAGTACTATAATATTAGACTCCTAGGGAATTCCTCCTTATTTTTATAGTTCTTTTCTACCAGTAAAATGGTAGAAAAAGGTAAGTAGTACTGCACATATTCATAAACCTATGCCAGCCCCAAAACTCTCACAATTTGAAATTCTTCATGGTATCCTTTCAGTTTTGAGCTAGGCTAGTTAATAGGTTTGGCACAAACTCAAAAGGAGAACATCCAAATTGCCACAAAATAAAAGATTATTAAAAGGTTATGAACCAGGAATCCATAAAGCTTTCAAAACATTACCTAAAGAAGGTATTTAGCTCATGCTGAACTGAAAAAAAAATTATGGAAGATATAACTGAGCTTGACATAAATATTAAGTACAATATAAAAATAAATGACGTTTTATATCTTGGTACCAGAAAATTATCTCCTACCATTATTTTCACTTACTTTAAGAAGTATCTCTGACCAGAAGATGTCTTTGCCATCTCCCAGCCCGCTGGCAGAGGTACGTCATCAGGTATCTCAAAAGAAGACTGTCTAAGGTGTTGAGCAGTGGGTGTAGCTGCTGGGCCAGAGACTACTCCCGTGGGTGTCAGTGTCCCAGGAGATACGGCTCCCAGCTGCAGGGAAGCTGGAGAGGAGTGAGCTCGAACATGCTGTGGAGTCAGGGCCCCTGCAGTGCCTGCATCAGTACTGGCCTATTAGGAATATTAAAACAAAGATTTCTTAAAATTTGTTTTCAAAGAGGGTCCCTTTAGATTTCTTAGATAGATATTTGGTTGCAATGAAATTCTAAATCCAAAGGCACATTTCAACATTTAATATTTGACACAGAGGAATACAGGTTTGCACATGGATACTTTTAAACATTTACGAGAAGGTCAAGGCAGTGTGTGTGCTTCTCCAAGTTCTAAAATGTTCTAGGTATAAACAAAACCCAAGGAATATAGCTATGGATTCTTTTTCTTTCTTTTTTTTAAACTAGGTTTTACATAGTGAATGTTTTTTCCAAGCCAAGCCCTAAACACACAACAGTTGTCATTTTTTTCTCACCATGGACAAATGTCATCAGTAAAGCAACCATCAAAATTTATACAACTTTTAAGGAATACAAAAGATCCAGAAACATCCGAATATTCTTAAAAACCTCCTAATGAATGAAATAAAAACCCAGCCATATATTTGTACCTAGATGATAAAGATGCCAACAATTCCATTACAATATAACTTAAGAATTTACAAGCATATTTACAACTGTGTAGTAGCAGAAAAAAATCCTGAACTCAGACCCTAAAGTTCTGGGTTCCAGTCCAAGCTGTCTAGTGTGACACTGAACAATATCATAATCTCTGAGCCTCAAGTTTTCTCATTTGTTAAACAGCTTTTTTTCATGATGGAAAAATGAGTATATGAATTTATATCCAATAATTTGTGAACAATAGTATTTACAACCCACATTTGCAGTATTCATAATCTAGTACAGTTATTTAAATTCCTTAACTGAAGAGTTAGGGTTTATCAAAAAGAATTTCCTAGATTCATATAGGCAAGTAAGGAAGACTAAAAGCAATCAGCAGATGCATCTATGCCTTGATGTTAAATCATGTACATTCTGAGTTTCCAATCAGAATGAATTAGGACTCATTAGCAGAAATAAAAGTCAAATTTATAGATGCATGACACTTGGTTAAAAAAGGCATTAAAACAAACAAAACTAAAATAGATTATGAATAGTATGAATCCATAAACTGCTGATATAAATTACTGTGCAATTATTTACTAGAAAAATAAGTAACACTTTTTAGTTGCAATTCTTTACGGCTTATAGATGCCACAAAATGGGGAATTCAATCTCCTATGGGTATTATACTTTCAAAACATATTAACTAGCAGCATAGTCGTGTAGACTGTGGGGTGCAATGCCAACACATTTTTACCCATAATGAGTCCAGAAACTCATTTCCAGGGGTAAGAGAAAAAAGCATACCTAAGTCTACTTCTTACAAATTGAATTATTTGGGGCAAGCTGCTAAATTGTTTTTCCTTCCTCTTCCTTAGCCCAGGTTTTTGTCAGCAGGTTAAGTGAGTTTTTCTGAGTTCCAAAACCCCTTGGTCTGAGGCAGGAGAACACACCACAGGCCTGCTGCAAATAGGAGGGGCGATAGGAGTGGGGCGATAACTGTTCTTTCCACTCAAGTTACAGACGAATGGACTAACTACATCGCAGTATTTGGAAAACCAATTAACTTCTGGATAAAGTTCCTATGCTGAAGTTTAGCCTGAAGCAAGCTCTTTTTAAAAAAGTAAGGAAAGAAAGAAAAACCTACACTAAACAAATCTTCTGGGAGAGGTCAGAATGTTAACACTTTCATAACAGTTTCATTTTAATGTTGGATCACGTTGACAAAGTAATCGAACGTTGTGTATGTGGAACAGCCATGTTCATATCCTCAATAAGAATTAAAGAGCAATGGCGAGCCTCGAATTAGTCATCACTTCCCAAACATTAACTTCTAATCACAGTTGAACTAGGCAGGACACGGCCTATGAGTCAACCTGCAGTGCGTTATCAAAGGCTTCTGTTAAAACCAAAGCACGGTAAAGCTCAACTCAGGTCCTGCGCAACGTGTAGATGTGGCTAATTTAAAAACATTTCGGCAAACTGTAAATAATAGTCTCCAACGGGGAAGCCAACACGTGAACCAACTAAGTTTGAGAAGAGTAAGCCTGCCCGACTTCCAAGGCGCTAGGTGAGGGCAGGGGTGAAAGCACTAACTCCATAAACAACTTCCAGGAAAGTCTGGATCCTGTATTCAGAAAGCGCCGGGGCCGCGAAGAAAATAAATGCTTTTGGGAGGGGGAGGGGGAGAAAGAGCGAGAAACTAAATGGACTGGTTCAACCCCCACCCCTAATCAACACTGGAAAACAAGAGAACAATTATTTGACTCCCTAGGAGACTGAAGTGGACCGAGAGGCCCCGAAGGAAAGGGGGCCCAGGCCTCAACTTCACAAACTCGGCCGCCGCTGGCAGCTCACCCACACACAGATGCCAGAGGCCCCCCTCCCCCTCCCCGGCCCCGCGGCGGCGGCGGCGGAGGGAGCGAAGGTGCGGAGCGCGGCGGCGCGCGCATTGTGCAAGCCCACCGCGGCCCGGGCCCGACTCTCCCCACCCCCTTCCTTCCTCCCCCCCCC